GGGAGGTGTATCCTATTACCATAAGGTACTCTCTTGATTTGGGCCATTCTTTCAATTTAGTATGGAGCTCTGGAACTAGGATTGCCACATATGATTGTTTGGGTTGTTCACTGCGCAAGGGCTCCTGGCCAAAAAGGATATATGGGGGCTGAAATCCATCCCATGCTTCACTCTATTCAGCTACCCAGCACCCTATGTGAGTTTGCATCCTTCTTAGAGGAGGGAGGACCTTGTTCATTAATGCACACAAAGGCACTCCATGGCCTAGTGGCAGCCACATCCAGAACCTCCCCTTTCCTCAAAATAAGCTCCTGTTAATCAATGTCCAGCTTTACCTGTCTATTCCAGCACTGCTTCCTCTATACACCCCAAACCCGATCAACAGAAAGACACAGGTATTTTCTCTATTCATACGTGGAGGTGGGGCATTAATGAGTAGTTTCAGGATTTTGACTTACTTTATTGCTTCTGAAAGTCGGGGGCAGAGTTAGGAGCAAGGCTATGGTTGGCCTTGCTAGAATCTTCTGTTTTTATCTTTGGCTTCCACTTTTCAATTTTATGTCCTGAAGGGGTGCCCCTCTTCCTTCTTCGGGTTCTGTCGGAGAATTGTTTTGCTGGTCTTCTAGCACTTTTTTTTTGTTCATTCCATTTGGTAGTGGAGGAGGGAGATCTGAGATATTCTTTTGCTTTGAAATCTCTCCTTGAAAGTCTAGAATAATTTTTTTAACTTAATGGTTCAGACTTTTTTTTTTTTGGTTTCACGTTTTAGTGGTTCATTCCTTCAACAATATCATTCATTCGAATATTGAGTGTGCCCTTTAAGGCATGCCCTATGGTAGGTGCTAAAGATACAGCAGTGACCAAGACAGTCAAGGCACCTGCTCTCGGGGCGCCTACAGTCTAAAGGGAGCAAACAGTGAAAGAGAGCGAACAAAGAAACAAACAAGGTTCTTTCGAAGTGATAAATGACACAAAGAAACTAGGCTGCGCTGGAGAGTGGGGAGGTGAAGAGCACTGGATCGGGTGAGTACAAAAGCCCTATCTGGCCAGATTAGACTTTGGCCTGGAGTGCTAAGGGGCCAGCCAGGTAAGCACCTGTAGGAAAGCTTCTGACCGGAGGAAACAGCCAGGCCCCAGAGAGCAAGGGTTCTGTGTCTGCAGAGCAGAGAGGAAGTCAGCATGGTACAGCTTCATGAGCCAATGAGGGTGCAGGATGGTAAGATGTTGAAGGGAGGAGGAAGGGGCTAGGTCATGTAGGGCCTCACAGGCCACAGTGAAGCGTTTGGCTTTTACTTTAAGTGAAATGGGAAGCTCTGGAGGGTTTTCATTGTGAGAACGATTTCACCTGACTGAAAAGTGTATAAGTCACTCTACTACGTGATAATGAATTATGGGTGGCCGGGGACGGCGGGGGGCAGGGGGGAATTGCAGGGTTATTGCAATAATCCAATTGGGGTTGAAGGTATCTTGGGCTAGAATGGTGGGGCAGGGGAGATGGAGAAAAGTAGGTGGATTCAGGGTACATGTTGGAGATAAGGCCAACAGAATTGCTAGAGGATTATACGGGGCCAGGAGGGAGGAATGAAGGTGGAAGGTCAAGAAGGATTATTTTAATCTGTGGATCATTCTAATGTGCTTGTTTGTGGCTGGAATCATATAGTAGGAAGGGAGAAAAAGAATAATTCTGGAGAATGAGGGAGACTAATTAGAGAAGCGAAGTACTTGAGAATTCCAGAAGACATGGAATCTGGAGGAACTGACCTTTGATTGAGCAGGGACAATGGTTCCCCTGAAACGGGGAAGGCAGAGAATGCAGATACCGAGGCAGGTAGGTTAGCAAACGTGAAGGTTGAAGATGAGAGAGTTTTGGTCAGACTGCTTCTACTTTTGTCATGTGGTGTGAGCTCATGTTACAAATGGAGAGGCAGTGGAGAGGGGTGTTGGAGATTTGAGGAGAATAAGGAATGAAATAGTTACCTTGCAGAAAGTTGGAAAAAGAATTTGCTGGGAAAATAAAGTAAGTCTTCCAAATAGCATTGAGTGCTCATTTTAGATTCATGGTATGACAAAAGTGAATGTTTTTCTCCAGCACTGTTCAGATAATTCCATACAGGCAGAGAGTAGGCAGGGAGTTGGATTCATCTATTTTTAAAAGCTATTAAAATAACTTTTTGTTTTCCTTATGAGTTTTAGAGACATTGGCTGCTGCTTATTCCCAAAGGAAAGGTGATTTTAAAATTCAGTAATACTTAAAACAGTCACATCAAATTATGTGTTTTTAGAAGGGAAATTATCAAAGAACACAATCACACTTCACTATTTATTAAGTCCCTGCTACACATACATTATTGGGAGGTGTATAGACAAAGTGGAAGATATGGTCCCGCCCCTCAAGAAGATTGTAGGCTATTGGGAATATTACTCATATTCAACTTAAATTCTCTAGCCATTTCATATTTTAAGTG